CAGTTTGGCTGCAACTGTAGCACGGGATGGCTATGGCACAGTGAGGACTGCGACGATAGTTCCCTAGTGCTACGTTATCGGCCGGCTAGGAGTAGTTTGCTACTCCACTTCCCCAGAAAGGTGGTGGGTCTGAGGGTTGTATAATGATATACCGCCTATACTCGGTCGTCAGAGCCTCGTTTGTTTAAACAGGGTGCACCACGTGAAGGTGAGGTTGACTTTTGGGTAAGCTAGGCTATATGTATCGCTTCAATACCCCTTGGACCCCATAGTGGACAGCAAACTGCAGGAAAGAGAAATGGGTGTTAGATACAGGTATGATGGCGGTCTGTTCAACATAAGAAGACCCAGGGTAAAAATACGTATAAAATTCATCACAGAACTCAAATCTCCAATACGCTGATGACTGCGCTCTAGTTGCAAATACGTTACAGCAATTACAGGAAATGCTGAACTCATATACCTGGGCATACGAGACTTTGGGCCTTAAAATGAACATCGATAAAATTAAAATCATGTGCACTCCCCCGGAAAATCATAACAGCGCTATAAAAATCGGAGAAGAACTATTGGAATATGTATCTGAATTTAGTTACCTCGGCAGTTTGATTTCGGAAAAGGCAAATATCGACTCTGGAATTCAGCAAAGAATCGGCAGCGCCTCAATAGCATTCTGGAAATTAAAAGACAGGGTTTTCTACAATCATGACTTGAGCACAAAAACGAAACTTGCGGTGTATCGAGCAGTAATAATCCCCACCATGTTATATGGAAGCGAAACCTGGGTGCCCTACCGCTGGCACACGAGCGCATTAAACAAGTTGCAACAGAGACACTTTAGACAACTGTTAAGAATCCAATGGTAACACCAAACGTATCAGCCCTTGAAAAAACAAGCTGCGAAAGCGCTGAAGTCATGATTACTAAATATCGCTTAAGATGGGCTGGCCACGTATGCAGGATGCAAGAAAACCGCCTACCGAAATCTCTTCTTTACGGTGAACTTGTAGAGGGTAAGAGGAAACCGGGTGGACACAATTCAAAAGATACAAGGATGTTTTTCATGAAAACTTAAAGGGGATAAGTATGTAGCATAAGTGGGAGGAAGCAGCGCACAATAGAACCCAATGGAGGAGAATTGTAAATTCTGTTAATAACGGCAACCAAAAAGTAAAGAGGCAACAAAGTAATGAGATTTTTGAATGTCCGGAATGCGGAAGAGAGATAACATCACGTATCGGGCTTTTCAATCACAGAAAAGCTCATGACAGGAAACGCCTTGCGTAACCATCTTCTGATGCGTGTCAAATACTCGTCAGCGAGTAACAGCAGTAATTACTAAGTAAGTACGGTGTGAAAATATTCCGCCTACGAAGCGAGAAGTCCGAGTTCGAAACCGGCTCGGAGTAAACTTTTTTAATTTTTTTTTGTTTATATTCTGATAGTAATTTTTTTTAATCGTCAGAATTATTTAATACTTTACTATAGTAAAGTATTTAAAACTCGGATTATCGCTTCGTTCGATAGAACCCAATGTCTATCGGCAGCCAGACGGCCCGCACGCTGTTCCGGAGAGCATAGCAAAAGATATATTGAAGAGTCAGCTTTCTTAAAAAACTTATTACTAATATATTAAAACTATATTTGAAGTGAAACTTCTTTACGCGCAATGAGAGTAAAATTCAAGGCCGTGGCATAACAAGCAACAAGGCCTTGACACACGGGCTAGTGAGAAAAAAAGTGATGAGTTACGTTAATAAAAAGTAATGAGGAAGTTGAGATGGAGCTTTGGAGCGTCGTAACTCAGCGTGAGCTATGGAGCTAAAACTCAGAATGTAGATGGGGCTCGATGAGTCTATTTTGACGACGTTTCATGTATCATCAATGAATCAAATCAAAAAATAGTCTGAATTAAATGAAATTTGGTATGTCGGTAGATTGGACAAAAGCCAACTTGACCGTGTACGACACGTTTCAATGTGCGAGTTAGTTTTACGATGTACTTAAACAGCCGTTAAACGGTAGCCTACTAAAATGCCGTTAATAGACATTGTGACGTCGTTCATGTCGGCGGAAAGTAATGCCCGGCTATAAGCATTTTGCAAGAGCATCTGTGTCTCCGTGGGCGAGGCTATCGCTTCGTGAGCGAATGGTCCGTAATTCAAATCTCACGCCGACCAAGACTTTTTTATATATTTTTTTGGCTTATAGCGTGATCTTATTGCATTGGTTTCACTCTTTTTGGTAGGATTGGTTTAGTTATTTGGCGGGTTGGTTAGAGTAGTTACTTGGAGGGTGTTAATTCATTGGTTAGTTGGTTATTTGGTGGGATTGGTTGGTTTTTACTAATTTATATATGTTTTTTATATTTTTTTTATCAGAGTCGAGGTTAGTTGCGTTGGTTAAGTTGGTTATTTGGTGGGGTGGATAGCGTTGGTTAGTCCTTATAAAATTCCTATATTTCATAAAGCCGTCAAGTGCGTCACATCAACGACGTCATACCTATTAACGGCATTTTAGTAAGCTATCGTTTAACGGCAGTTTAAGTACAGCGTTAGTTTTAACGTAAGAAACGTCAAAAGTTGATGTCGTCCGATTACGACCAAATTTGGTGGGTAGCTTATGTGAGCGAGAGTGCATACGGTTCCACCTTGCAAAGTTGGATACGACGTTTTGTTTACATCTTCATCAGGGTGGGATTAAGGATTGGATATTCAAGAAAAATGTGGATCGATTTTGGCATAATTAGGGACGGGCTACAGGATGACGCCCTCGACGTTTTGAACCGATGCGATATCTCTAAATGGACGAAATCATCACATTTTTCTAAATTATGGGTCGATTGGAACCAAACTCGGCACGTGGGTAGAGGTACCCGAATGGAGTCCTCAGACGGACAGACGGCAGTAACAAGAAGTTTCACTTCAAATATGCGCACATAGTGCACACATATTTTTTTACTTTTATGGATATATATTTTTATACCGGGTGAGTTTCCTACGATGTTCTCTATGGATATCTCGGAAACTACTGAAGATAGAGAGGCGGTTAAATGGGGAAAGAATTGCAGTTTTGTGGGGTCATAAATATGCGTCTTTCAGATTTTTGAAATAGTTCATGGCTTACTAGATATTTCGAAAAAAACAAATTTTGGCTATTTTAAAAATTGTTCCTAATTTTATTATAATCTATTTTAGATAAAAACTTTTCAGATAAAAGTTGTAGATAATCACATCCCTAATGAGTTTGTGTTCTCCGATTTTTTCTAAAGCCTGTCATTTTTGACATATGACACAAACATATGTTTTTTTTAAATGGAAACCATAGTTAGCCATGGCTTCATAAAAAGCGCCATTTTTTAAGCTTTTCAGCGATATAAGCTATAATATGCTTTTTTCACAAAATTACCGAGTTATAGCCAATTCTTATCTTTCTTGACTAATTTCACTTAGTGAGCCATGGAAACAAGTTTAATCGTCGTTACTCTCAGAAATGTGAAACTGTCACATCCAAATTTTGTAAATTAAAATAAACAAAAATTACAAAAAATTATTTTCAAAAGTTACTGAGTTATAGCCAATTCTTATCTTTCTTGACTAATTTCTCTTAGTTGGCATGGTGTTCTTATTTTGTTATGATTTATTACTTATAAAAAGACAAAATATATTATTAAACGGCTCTTTACAATTTACATTACACAAATAAAAACTTAAAAAAATAGTATCACTATATACACTTTCAGTTATTTTAGAAAAATTTCAAAAAATCTGCCATTGTTTTGAGTACATAAATGCATCTTATTAAAACTGAATTTCTCGCTATTACCACAGAAAGACCGGTCGACTTAATTAAACTTCTCCTGTACCGCCTCTTCAAGTGCGTCTCTTAATTCATAGTACAAGTTCTTTTGTAAACCTTGGTAATCATACCGTATAAAAAAATCTAAAATGGATAGGTCAGGTGATCGAGGAGGCCCATGCAATTGGTCCACCTCTTTCTATCCCTGAGTCTAAATAATTATGATATAAATAATTTATAACATTTCTATCATTGTGGGGAAGGGGGGGGGGTGTCATAATGAAAGTCATAATGGAACGACTCTATTAATGCGCGAGTATCTAAATTTAACTTTTCTAACATGTCTTGAAAACCGTTCTCTAAAAAGAACGTAAGTGACGTCCACCTGTCAACGTATCCTCGAAACTGCATGGACAAGAAAAGTTAAACCAATAATCTTGTACGCTTTTCTTCATTTGAAAAAATTATATTTACAATTTTTGTTTATTTTAATTTACAAAGTTTGGATGTGACCGTTTCACATTTGTGACAGCAACGACGATTGCACTTGTTTCCATGGCAAACTAAGTGAAATTAACCAAGAAAGATAAAAATTGGCATATTATAGCTTATATCGCTCAAAAGCTTAAAAAATGGCGCTTTTTATGAGGCCATGGCCAACTATGGTTTCCATTAAAAAAAAACATATGTTTGTGTCATATGTCAAAAATGACAGGCTTTAGAAAAAAATTGAGAACACAAACTCATTACGGATGTGATAATCTACAACTTTTATCTGAAAACTTTTTGTCTAAAATAGATTATAATAAAATTAGGAACAATTTTTAAAATAGCCAAAATTTTTTTTTTCGAAATATCTAGTAAGCCATGAACTATTTCAAAAATCTGAAAGGCGCATTGTTATGATCCCGCAAACCTGCAATTCTCTCCCCATTTAACCGACTCTCTATCTTCAGTAGTTTCCGAGATACCCATAGAGAAAAAAAATAAATATTTGAACTACTGATTGATATACTTATCGATTACCGTTTTTTGTAAAAAAATTGAATCGCGAGTAATGCATTGATTATTATATAAGCCTAGAAAGGCTTCATTAGTAATATAAGAGCTATGCGTGGCGTGGTAGATCTTTCCCTATTATTTACGAGAATGTGTATTTAGAATGCAAATAATGCAATTCATCTAAAATTACGTATTTTCAGGTCCAAGGACTTCTATTGGCAATATTACTAATTGGGAATATCATACCAATTGTAATATTTCTCTACAATGGTGGTCAGATAATGGAAGATCAGGTAAATCTCTAGAATTCAGAAGAATATGCATGTTCTCTAGAGTTTTATTTTCAGTATGAAGAAATACACAATACGCTGCTCGATATGTCTTGGTACGCTTGGAGCAACGAAAATCTTAAAACTTACCTCATGATTCTAACAGAAACCTATAAACCCATACGGACTTACTTCAGTATAAATGCTGTATTAAACCGTGAGGCAACTTTACCGGTAAATTCTTAAATAGTACCTTTCAAATTAATTATTTACTAATCCTTTTTAGTACATCAAGATTTACTACATTCTTTTTATGTTTGTGTGTCGAACGTACATAAAAGATATGTTTTAATAGTCATGAATAAGGTAATAAGTTCAAGTATGTTAAAAACTACAAAATGTAGACAGCATTTTTACTTTATAAATGTAATTGGGGAATATATAAGAAATATTAATATGTGTATGATATAATTGATTGCAATAAAATGTTTTGTACTTTTGTAATGTTTTTAATTCGTTACATGTTTTTTTATATATGATCCATTTTGTAAATGATTGCAAGCATTTGTCATTGCTGATCCAACCCTGGTAGTTTGAACTACTTTGTATAGTTTGATCTGGTTGGAAATACTAGTATCGTTTCGCTGCTTCTGTGGTTGCGCTCTCTGTAATCCATAGACTAATGTCATGTACTAGAGATAGATTGGACACTGATATAAAACAAATATGTCTAAAGTCCCTAGATATATAATGTACCCAGAGATATAGACATAGGAGAATGAGCTTCGACGAGTGCGCATCCAAAAATCTTATTATGCCTACATGGGCGCCATGTTAGTGTTTAGGCTTACAGGGGAAAATAAAAAAGTAATAACAGCAGACCGTTCTGACATTTCGTCCTATTGAGGTTAATGTAATTTTTCGTTTTTTTTTAACTTACGGACTGATATAAACAGCTTTTCTTCAGCACGATTGATCACATACATACACAAGAAACTATCAGCCGAAGAGAAGAATACGAACTTCCACTAGCCATAGCCTTTATAGACTTTGAGAAACAACCCCAGAGTTCCCAACTGGTAAAGTGGTAACGGAGTACGAGTACGACCAGGAACCACGATATCCCCAAAGCTGTTTACAGCAACACTAGAAGAAATCTTCCGTCAACTGGACTGGACCAACAAAGGATTAAAAATAGATGGAGAATATCTCAACTATCTAAGATTTGCTAATGACACAGTCCTAATTGCTAAAAGCCCTGAGGAACTACAAGCTACAAAATGCACTTAGCAAAAAGTACTGTACAATGAACGAGTGGACAGAAAAGCCATTCTAATAAATAACACAGCACTGGAAATCGTAGAAGAATACATGTATTTGGGACACAGCTCGGGATCTCTATTATCAGAAATCAACAGAAGAATTAAGTTGGCATGGAGTACTTATGGAAAAAACTCAATCATATTGAAATCTAGAATTCCACTTTATCTAAAAAACAAAACATTCAACCAATGTGTACTACCAGTGATGACCTATGCATGCAAAACCTGGAAATTTAAAAACGGACATCATAAGGAAACTGGACATCGAACAAGACTCAATAGAACGGACCCTAAAAGAATAGAGACACAGGACACCTGGCAAGAAGGATGGACAATAGATCTAAATATGTGAGGAAGGCTACATCATAATTGGAAATGGTTGAATAAGCTGAAAATTGAAAATGATGATCGTGATAAACAGTTTTTCTACTATTCTGAACTGTTTCTAGTGTTTTTTTTTGTGTAAAAGATAATTTTTGTTAGTGTTTTAGCTGGTATAGCCAATTAGTGTTTTATTTAGTGATAGTTCTTTGTTTAGTATATTATTTTTATTATATAGACTTTTAATCATGTCTTGTATTGTAAAAGAGAGAAGAGTGCAAGAATAACAGGAAGAATACTGGGCTTCATACAAAAATTAGTTTTCACTTGTAAGTTATAATTATGTTTTATACTTATTTGTATAACCTAATATTATTTATAAAAATTAAATACATTGAAAAATTAAATGTATTTTTCGTATTTTTCAAGTATATATTTTGATTATTTCAAATTCTTATTATATAGTCATTACAATGATATACTTAATCACGTAGTAGAAGGATACTACATAAATATGTTTCAAGATTAATTCAGATATTATTTGTATATATGAATATTTTGCAATAACTATGCAATAATTATGTGTGGTGATCTGGTAATATATTAACATATATTATGTAAAATTTTGTTTAGAAAATAAATGTTTATGATATTCAGTTTTTGTTTTATTCTCTGAAAAATATACTCAACAAATTTGTAACACAATAAATTTGAAAAATTCTCATAATGTTAGAGATTGCAGTTCTGTCTATTTTTCTTTAGTTTCCCATATTTATTTGAAGTAAGAATCTTTTAAAAACATCCAAAATTATTTTTAATAAACGAAAATAATGACTAAAACAAACTATTTATAGATTCCTATGATAGAAGAATACTAAAATACTTATTTATTTTTTTTATAGATATAATACCGCAACTGTATTACAGCTAATAATATAATAATTGATCTTAATTTAATATATCATAAACCACTCTAGTATGATCATGACTTTTTGAATTCCCCTTATAGACCTAAGCATGAACATGGCGGCCATGGGGATCTTCATTTCTGCGCACCTTCAAGCTCATTCTCCTATCTCTATATCTCTGAAAGTACCGCAATTACCGCCATTTGAGCGCCAATTGGCGGGAAATTTAAAAAGGGGGCCAACATTTCTCTGTTTCGGCTTTTTACGCAGCTAGTCGGTTCGGCGCCGGCGCCAAAATGGACGACCAACTTTGGCAGGCAAGCCGTAAAATAAAATATTATTAATTATAGTAGAATTACCTTTATTATCTATAGTTAAACTTATATACCTTCACTGTAATGTAATACCAGGTAATATATTGATATTCGATTATATTATTATATTGTTACCTTTTAGCTCACAGTACGCCAACAGAAGTAAGTTAATAGGTAGGAAGAAATAAAGTTGAAATAACCTTTAGCATTTTACTACTTAATTTAGTCGAAGCAATAGGAAACACTTTGTTTACTGATGAGAATGGGATACCTATACCATAAGTAAACTTTGCCTATACCTATACCAGTTTTGTTGTACTTAGTTTTAGCAAATAAGCATGATTTAATGAAAGTCTTTGGAACTGTGAATATAGGTATAGACTACAAACTTAAATTTGAAGTCCAGCTTTTATACGAGAAGATTTTGAACCATGGTTGTAACAAATAAATGTAATAATTAAATTGATATACTTACCTGCTATATTTGAAATATATTAATATATTGATAGAAATATTGTTTCAACTAGTATTATTTTAGGTAGTTTAGGCATTTTATGTATGTAATTGTGCACTTAATTTAAAAATAACTTAGAAAGAAGCTTGAAATGCATAGGAGCGGTATGCATACAATCGTGGCACAAAATGGCGAACTTCTAAAAGAGGAAGAACAAATCAGAAACCGCTGGAAAAAGCATTACAGCCATATCCTTGACAAAGAAAACAACCCCAATATGGAAGCACTAAACACAATACCTCAGTATAACAGCCTCGATGTATTAGACATCCCAATAACAGAGCAGAAAATAAAGGTCTCCATAAAACATAAAAACAAAAAATCAGCTGGCTGTGACGCGATTCCGGCAGAAATCTATAAGTGTGCAAGTAACGAACTTATTGGTTATCTTAAGGCTCTCTTCAATGTTATATGGGAAAGCGGAGAGGTACCTCGGGACTTTCGCAACGCGAATAGAGTGAATATATTTAAGAATAAAGGAAGTGCATCGACTGCGAAAATTACCGGGGAATTTCACTATTGGCTACCGGGGGAAAAATTCTTACAAAAATTATGTCAAACCGCCTGCACCCACATATAGAAAAAATCCTTCCAGAATCGCAAACGGGTTTTCGCACCAACCGCGGCACCATCGATACGATATTTTCCAACCGCCAACTACAGGAAAAAGTAAAAGAACAGTAGTCTAAACTTTATGTTGCAATTTATCGACCTAACAAAAGACTTCGACTCTGTGAGCAGAGATGCATTTTGGTGTTAAATGTTTCGAAAAACAGAAAAAAATATTTCTTTTGTAGAATTTCTCCATTCCCTACCATGTTATATGGGAGCGAAACCTGGGTGCCGTAACGCCGACACATGAACGCATTAAGCAAGTTGCAACAGAGACACCTTAGACAACTCTTAATAATCCGATGGTACCATCATGTCTCAAACGTATCGGTCCTTGAAAAAGCTAACTGCGAGAGTATTGAAGTCATGGTTACAAAATCCCGCTTAAGATGGACTGGTCACATATTCAGAATGCAAGAAAACCGCATAAAATTTCTGATTTACGGTGAGCTTATAGACGGTAAGAGGAGGCCGGGTGGACAACTCAAAAGGTACAAGAAGAAACATTTTCCACTAAAACTTAAAGGATATTAATATGCAGAATGAGTGGGAAGAAACAGCTCATAATAGAACTCAATGGAGAAGAATTGTAAACTCAGTTAACAGCGACAACCAAAAAGTAAAGAGGCAACAAAGCAATGAGATTTTTGAATGTCCGGAGTGCGGTAGGCAGTTAACATCACGTATCGGGCTTTTCAGTCACAGAAAAGCTCATGGAAGAAAACGCTTTGCCTGAATAATGGCAGTATGTATGTATGTATATGATTTAGTATTTTCTCTCTTCTTCTTCTGATCTTCCAATATGTTTAAAAAGAAAGGTCTTTAACCAGTGTGTCTTGTCCTCACGTATGGGGCTGAAACACTTACTTTGACCAAAAAGAACATACAGAGAATACAGGTCATGCAACGGAAAACGGAAAGGTCCATGTTAGAAGTTAACTTAGAGATATATATATATATATATATATATATATATATATATATATATATATATATATATATATATGCGGGGGTAGCTATTGGGTACAAGGCCAAAAATACCAAGACTCAAAATGAATGCTGAATGTAAAACCACCATCACCTCAATTAATACTGCTCTAGAAAAATATTTTAATGAAGCGGACAGCCTTGAGAATCTCTGTCATAAAGTTTACTGCGCAGCTACACTAACCTGTAAAATTCTGAAGCAGGATAAATATAATTCGCCTGGAGGAGAACCCCAGAGCCCCCCATGGAAAAAACGGTTGGAAACAAA